CAGAGAACACTTGTCGAGCCTAGGTTTTCTAAGATTCTAACGAATTTACTTGCGTAATCTTTTTTTATTGAACCTCGCTTCACGCCCCTTGTCGGGCGGACTTCCCCACTCGCATGGCAATCTAGCAGTGACCCTTTGAGGAACGAAATTCCCATTTTTAGCGCCAACGGAACGCTCCTTGCCGAACACGCAATTGTAATGGCCCGGCCGAGTCCAGTAGACAACATTATTTAAGGCGCTCCCCTTGAAGTGGGCCTCCGGGCGGACTCGGTGGCCCAGGATATATATATTTGGGCCCTAAGGTGGTCCACTCCCCCTCCCTTCTTCTTCCGCTCGACCAGCCACTTGATGAAAAAACGGCCGCCCGACTGCTTATGAAGGGACACACACAACACACTCACCGCATAGAGTAGCGCTGCGGAATTTGCATTACTTTATTTTTACGTCGAGGCGGATTTTCCACAATATTCTCTGCTAGTTGACCTCGAACTCCAAGCAGACCCTCCTGACGACTCTTTTCCCGGAAAACCACCGAATCCTATGCAAAAAAAATTTCGGCAATGGAAATTTCGACATTCTGAAATTTCGACATTACGAATTCCGACGTTAGGAATTGTCGACATTTGATCTCGACATTATGATCAAATCTGCTTAACTGTCCCATTTTCTGCAAAAATCCCTGCTAGCTTGCCAGTTCTGACTTCTGAATTTCCTTAAAAAGCCCAGCAAGCCTCGCAAAATTTATACATCAAGCAGGATGGATTGCAGGCTGGGCAAGCTAGCAGAGACGCTTAGACCCCCCCAATCAATCGGAATGTTCTCGTATTATAATCCGAATTGTGTGACGAGGGTTGTGGTGGTCGGTGCTACGGGCTGTCCATTACGCATTCACCTCATCTCCCCGTATCGGGGGATAGAGACACCAAATATTCAAGTAGAGAGAGGGGGGACATGCCTTTTTCATTCGTTATTCGCCGTGGGTGGCTTTCCGGCTTATTAGTACGTAGAGTATGGAGGGGTGGAATGAGCAGAGAATCTTTGCGGAATGCCGCGGTTCCTCAAGGAATCTCTGCTAGCCTGCCCCTCCAATTCCTCAAAGAATCTCTGCTAGCCTGCCCCCCCCCCAATCCCTCAAAGAATCTCTGCTAGTCTGCTCCTCCAATTCCTCAAAGAATATCGGCTAGCCTACTCCTCCAATTCCTCAAAGAATCTCTGCTAGCCTGCCCCTCCAATTCCTCAAAGAATCTCTGCTAGCCTGCCCCTCCAATGCTTCAAAGAATCTCTGCTAGCTTGCTACGTAATTCTCTTCACCCAAAGTCAGATCTACACGCCCAGAATAGGGCCCATTTTTTGCATTACGCGAGTCCTCCTCCGATTTGTGTGCGCAGTCGTAGAGATGCATGTCCCCCCGCTTTTTGGGCCCCTAATGCGTAATTGACGGCCGCGGGGCCCTCTTTTTGCCCTCCAATTCCTCAACGGTCTCTGCTCGCCTGCCCAGTTTGACTCGAAGACGAGGACAATGCCTCGATTCCCTTCTCATCGCTAGGTGGAGAGCTGTCTAATCTAGCACACACCCCGGGCAAGACACAGGAAATTAATTCCCCGGCGTGGCCATGGGGCCCTAGTTGTCATCGGGCCCAGGGCCCATTCCGCCACTTTACCCCCCCTGGCTGTCATCAACAGGACATTGCCAATTACCTCATCCCCCTGCGCACAAAGGGTGTCGGCAAGCGGGCCTAGCTTTTGTTGTTGTTTCGGCTAGGGTCTCTGCTAGCTTGCCTGGTTTCTCAAATGGTCTTTGCTAGCTTGCCTGTTGACTAGAACTTGAAAACATTTTGTCTGTCCCTTTAAAAATAGTTTCTGCAAAGATGCCTGGCTTGGTAATTGTGATTTCCGCAAGGGTCACTGCTAGCTTGCCTGGTTTCCGAAATGGTGTTTGCTAGCTTGCCTTTGACTTGAAAACGTCATGTCGCTCTGCCTTTAAAAGTCCCAAATGGCTCGTGCTCGCTGCTATGTTTCCCAAAGAAACGCTGCTAGCTTGCGCCGTCCGTGATAGGGTCGGGGCAGACTAGCAGAGATTTGTTGTGGAAATTGAAGTCGAGCTACCAGAGTTTTTTCTTGAGAAATCGGATTGCAGGCTAGCAGAGATTTTTTGAGGAATTGGAGGGCAGACTAGTTCGATGTCTGGAGGTTTTAGAACGAAGGGCAGGCTAGCAGAGACCAAGGTGTCATCTCCAGAAATGTGCCCTTCAGGCAATTATCCGGTTAGACCCCCCAATATCTCCTTCTGGGTATTTCCCTCCCTCATTACCACGTATTGGCCGCCGTGTGATCCGCCCCGAAAACCGAAACACAAAGGGCCCCAATTTGATTCCACCCGCCCCCCGGCCACGGCGAATTGCCCCCATTTTGCCGGTTTTTTCGTACGGGCCGAAAATTGAAGATTGGTGATGTGGCTTTAGGGTTTTCCTAGAAAGCCGCCGCTTTTTTTCAAACTCCAGGTCTCAGTTTTTGAGTTCCACAAGGCCCACTGCTAGCTTGCCTGTAAAGTAAATCGTGGGTTTGACGATTTTCTTGTCTTTTAAAGGGCCAGTGAAGGCAGTTTTTGGTGTCGCAGACGTCTAGCCAATCCGGCTTTTCATCCTAAATGATAACTGCTAGCTTGCTTGCAGGGAAAATCGGAAATTTTACGATTTTGAAGTCGGTCTTCGGGGTCATAGACGTCTAGCCAATTCGGGTTTTCCTCCTAAATCATCTCTGCCGGCTTGCCTGCAGCCAAAATTATGTTTTTTTCGATTTCGAGGCGCTTTACGCAGATTTTAGACAGATTTTTGTGGGTTTTGTGTTACCTATGCCGTTTTCCCAGATTTGACTTTCCGGAAGGTTCTCTGCTAGCTTGCCCCGTCGGATTTCGGTTTTATAAACGTCATGCTCAATTCTAGCCCGGATCATGAATTATTAGGCGTGTTGAGATCATGGTCGAGATTTCAAAAATCCTGCTCTCTCTCCCTCTCTCTCTCTCCCTCTCTCTCTCTCTCGCTCCGAGATATTCGGGGCGCTGATCCTAATGAATAGGCGATGAGGGGGAGAAGTGGTAGAAGTGAGAAGTTCGCCGGGCTTCAAGAGACCTCGGCCTAAACTCCGAATCGATCCGTTTTCCGTTTTTCGCAATCTTTTGCTCATGATTTTCATGGCGTAACTGATTTTCTGGCTTCAATGGTCCTTTAAATTGATATTTTCAAGGTTTTCTCCAGAGTTCTCTGGCCCTTTAAAGTCACTTTTCTAGCTTCGGTGGCCTGCCCATCAGTCCCAGGGATCGGGATGCCCCGATGCGATTCGGCGGGATTTGGTCGCTGATAATACTGTCGACGCTCTGCTCGATAGGTAAGCGAGCAGAGGGCTTTTAGGAAAATTGTGCATGCTAGCAGGGATATTTGAGGAAATTCGAGCTCCGGAAACCCGGAAAGCGAAAAAAGAAGATGCGGGCAAGCTAGCAAAGATTCTTTAAGAAGCTGATGCCGCCAGGGCAGGCTCGCAGGGCGTCTTGAGGAAATTTGAGCTCTAGCGTCACCTCGACCTGACATGAAGGTCAGGCAGGCTAGCAGAGATCCTTTGATAAAATCCGTTTTTCCTGGACGATCTAGCAAAGATGTTTGGGGAATCAGCTTGAATTTTCTCGAAATGCCGCCAGGCAAGCTAGCAGGGATCACTGAAGAATACGACGCTCAAGGCATGCTAGCAAAGGCCATTTGCGAAAACCAGCAAAACCCCCTTTCAAGGCTCGGCCACCTTCTGCCTCGAGGGCTCCGATTGCCAAGACACCCACATTTGCGGTATTTGCGAGGGTGCGGCCTGTGTCAGGATCTTCAGGTATGGACCTTGCCTTCAAGGGCCCTTTAAAAAGTTTTAGACCCGCCAAGCATACCGTAAAAGAGATCTCATCACTTGCATTGACTTGTCTACCTCACGACAGCCTCGTACACGCCTATAATCCGGATGGGTGCAGGTCAGGCGAGCTAGCGGGGATTCTTTGAGGAATAGAAGGAACTGCCAAGCTAGCAGAGACCGTTGTGGAAAATGAGAGAAGTGAAGGCAGCTAGCAGCGATTCTTGAAAAAAGCCAAGCCCCAGGGCAAGCTAGCAAAGGTTTTTGAGGAAGCCACTGAAACTGGCTAGCTAGCAGAGAGCGTTGTGGAAAATGTTCGAGGTTAGCTAGCAGCGATTCATTGAAAAAGCGTTTGAGCCTAGGGGCAGGCTAGCAGAGATGCTTGAGGGCTGAGAAAACGCAGCCAACTAGCAAACACCATTTGAAAAAAGCAATTTCGATAAGCCAAGGCAAGCTAGCAAAGGTTTTTGAGGAATCAGACGATCTAAGATTGGCTAGCAAAAAGCCTTGTGGAGCCAAAAGTTGGAACGTCAGCATGCATGGATTCTTGAGAAGAATCCCGGAAAGCAAGTGAACTAGCAGAGACCATTTGAGAAACAGCCCGTTCGGCCAGGGCAGTCTAGCAGAGACAATTTCTTTCTAGACAACCGTTTACGACACTTATCGCCAGTTTCGAAAAAGCTTAATCAATTACGCAGTGAAATCGTCCCTCTTGACTTCACCGCTCCTTTAGAAAAACGCTACACGGCGATGTGTATTGCCTGTGCTCGCTGGACTACTGTAACTCCTCGAAAAAATTCGAATTTTCCGGATTTGTCATTTTTGTTATTCTGTTAACCTACCTTGCATAACTTAATTTAACTAATTTAAGCATCAATAAATGAATTCATTTCCGAAAGCATGAAGGTACGGTACGGTAAGATACGGTAAGCGCGTCAACGGGGGAAACTCGTGGAATCACGTAATAACAAAAACAACTCAACAGAGAGAGACCATTTGGGGAAATCGGATTTTAGAAATTTTGTATTTACAAAAATACAAAATACAACAGGGCCCGCATCACAATATCGAAAACAGGTGGAGGTTGGAAAGTTGAGAAAAATCGGGATTTATTAGATCCGGGCCTCGCCGAGGTACTTCTCGAGGAGTTGTTGCTTCTTTGACTCGAGCAGCGATTCTTCGATATCCTATAAAAATTGTATTGAATTTAAATAGCAATTTAATGACGTTATAATAATTATATAAAATCGATATTAAGTAAAATACCTTGAGGGTGGGGACCATGACGTGGCGAATCTCGACCTTCTTCCCGTCCTCGCCCACCACCTCGGTGATCTTGACCTGCCACTCGCCGTCGGCGTCCTAAAAATGTAAAATTAAACAAGAATTGATCTATAATAATAGTTTTACAAGCTTTAAAATCCATAAAAATTAATTTTTTAGGTTTAAAAAACTCGAATTTTGAATTTTTAAAGCGCGAAACTATGGATATTAGATAGAAAACTAATCGAAAAATAACTTGAAAACTTAAATCACAATAGCGGAAACATTTAACTAGTTTCAGCAAGCCTAAAAAATTACCAAAAACCGAATTTCCAAGTTTTTGTACTCCAAAAGGATTAGAAAATGCGAAAACCCTTTTTCTGCGTTTTTAATAAAATGAAAAGCATCAAAAGCCTAATTTTCTACCTTTTGAATAACTATTAAAATAACCCACATCCTCCACTTTATAAATGTCGTCCTCGACCTCGTCGGCCGAGTCGCTGTCCCGCGCGTCCTTGTCCCATTTCACCTTTGACGCGTCCCATTCCTAAATTAATTTTTTAAAAATTTGGTTTTCTATATTTTTAAAGTACCTCCTTGGCCTTGGCGATGGCTCGGGCTTCTTCCTCGGCTTCTAGCGGCTCCAGGATCCCGTCATCATCATCCAAATACCCGTAATAGCCCGCGTCGACGTAGCGCATCAGATCCGCGCGCGTTTTTCGGATTTTCTGAATTAAATGGTGTAATCTTTAAAGCGAAATAGATACCTCAATCTCGGTGTCCTTCTCGAACAGCTCGCGGACGCCGGGCAGATCGCGGGCGGCGCCGTAGTACTTGTAACTTCGATCGCCGCCGACCGCCCGGCCCTCCTTGTCCAGCTCTCGACCCATTTTTCTAAAATAGGCAAATTAAGCGTATTTTTAAAGCCGCAGAGCTAGCAGGGATCCTTTGGGAATTAAAAACCCAAGGGAATAACCTAAAGTCCCTAATTTTCTCGGGCAATCTGGCAGAGATCCTTTAGGAAGCTTTTTTCAAAAGGGCAACCTAGCAGGGATTCTTTAGGAACAAAAAAACTTTGGGACATATGCCCATTTTTGAATTGGCAATCTAGCAGGGATTCTTTAGGAAAATCTCCTCAAAACCTCACCGAAAATCGGAGCCTCCTAATTCCTTGATCCGCTGCTCCCATTGGTTCTTCACCCGCACGAGCTTGTTGATCTCGTCGTTGAGGTCGCGGATCTTGAACTCACCCAACCCGGGGTTCTGGATCGTCTGGATCTTCTTCGCGACGTCTTTTGCAATCTAAAAACGAAAATTTGGGCCTTTTAAAGCTTTCCGACCTCCATCCGGAAACGAATCGCGTCCTCCAGCCGCTTGCACTCGCGCGTGTCATTTGGGCGCTTCGCGATGGGGCCTAATTTGGTTATAGCAAATTTCTCGTGTAATACTTACCTCGCTCCTCCTCCTCCTTCATTCTGCGCCATCGGGCGAGCGCCGTCATCGCCTTCTCCGCGTTACGGGCCTAGAAAAATGGGGTTTCGGTTTTAAATCATATTTCTTACCATTTTGTCGGTTCCTTGATCTGTCGGTTAGAAGCTGAAAACGATGGGTTGAGCCTTGGTAGTGACTAAAATGAGAATATAAGTTATTAAAGAAAAAATGGAAATAGAAACTTTGAAAGCAGAAAATAAAAACAGAAAATTCGAATTTTGAGTGCGGAAATGAAGCTTTTTCAAGATTCTAAGCTTAGCCAGATAGCAATTCCAAAGCGCTAAAAATAAATTTCATTTCGAAAAGTATTAGATTTAATCGAAAAACGGGGATTTTTTGAAGTATTCCTCTTTTGCCGAATCTTTTTCGAATTGAAAAGGGCTACACAACGCTCCAATGGCCACTCGCCCTTTGCGCCCCCGCGACAAAAGGATGATGAGAATTTGAAGAATTGCCGGCCGAAATGGATCGCGCTTTTTTGTAAAGTTCTTTATTAAAATTTAAAGTTTTAGTATGATTTATAGCGAATTTTTCATGCTCTACTAGCTTCTCCTTGCTTTGTTGTGCCTTCTCAATCGATTTCGAAACTCCTAGCGCTTGATTTGGGCCTCAAAAACTTGGCACAATTTTTCCAACGTTTTTGTTGTCGTTTTTCGATATTTCTGATCAAAATTTAGCTTCTAGCCTCCGAATTAGCTAGCAGAGACGTTCAGGAGTTTCACTCTTTAGAAAATAAGGTCCTTTCTCTATCCTAAAGTTATGGTTTTCTTGTGTTTTTATCCAGTTCTTATCAAATTCAGCATTTTGTGTTTGTTTTTCTCGTTTTCTAGGGCTCGAAAGCGTTGCTCTTCCAAAATGCAGCCTTTTTATTGCACGGAATTTGAGTTTTCTGAGCTGTCCATGAATTTTCCTCAATTTTGTGGTCATTTTCTGATAACTTTTCTCATTTTCTTTCGCTTGCCTTCACTAGATTCTCCGATTACATCGTATCCTTTGCAGAATGGCCGACCAACAAGCGAACCGTTCGGCGGCCCCAGCCCCCTCTGGAGGCCCCGCGGCCGCCGCCGCCGGTCAGCAACCCGCCGCCGAGAAGATGGAGACCGACCAGGAGGAGCAGCTCGACGAGGAGATCCTCAAGATGGCCCCCGAGGACCTGAAGAGCCGCTCGCATCTGCTGGAGAGCGAGATTCGCATCATGCGCTCTGATGTGAGTAGAATCCTCGTTTATTTTTATTTCATTTCCTTTATAGGTGCAACGCATCAGCCACTCGGTGCAGACACTGAAGGACCGCATCAAGGAGAACAACGAGCGGATCAAGGTAATTTTTCGACGGATGAATTTATGATTTTTTAGGTGAACAAAACGCTGCCGTACCTCGTGTCGAACGTCATCGAACTGCTCGAGCTCGAGGAGAATGTGGAGGAGGAGGGCGCCAACGTCGATTTGGATGCTCATAAGGTAAAAAATCTACAAATTTTTAAAATCTCGTGTTTTTAGACAAAATGCGCCGTCATCAAGACGTCCACTCGCGCCACCTACTTCTTGCCGGTCGTCGGCCTCGTCGACCCCAGCGAGCTGAAGCCGGGCGACCTCGTCGGTGTCAATAAGGTACGAAAAAGGCTACATTCTTTTTCATGGCTTGTTTCAGGATTCCTACCTCGTGCTCGAGAAGCTGCCCGCCGAGTACGACTCCCGTGTCAAGGCCATGGAGGTGGACGAGCGACCGCAGGAGCAGTACTCCGATATCGGAGGCTGTGACAAGCAAATCCAGGTATTTTTGGAGAGCTCATTTTGAAAATTGTTTTTTTAGGAGCTGATCGAGGCCGTCGTGCTGCCAATGACGCACAAGGACCGCTTCATCAACCTCGGCATCCACCCACCAAAGGGCGTGCTGCTCTACGGGCCTCCCGGTATAAATTTGGGAGATTTCTAACGTTTTTTAAAGTTTTTAACGTGGAAATTAGGTTTTTTGAAGACTAGAAGGTTTTGCGGAGCCTCAAAAACAGTTTTTGTCGTTTTTCGATTATTTTAATTTGGGTTGAAGGTTCCTTGTGCGCGCAAATTCGCCTTTTGATTTCTGAGTTATTTAGAACTTGAAATGTAATTTTCGGTTTTGAAACTCCATATTTTCCGATTCTGGGGAATTTTTTTGCTTTTTCGCGGGTTTTGCGATGCCTTATTGTAATTTGAAGTAGATGTAGTGCGAAAATCCTATTTTTTTGCATTGAAGATTTTTTTAGAACGTAAAATAAAATCATTTTTCAGTTTTAAAATAATTTCCCCTTCTTTCCAGGCACCGGCAAGACGATGATGGCCCGTGCCGTCGCCGCGCAGACCAAGTCGACCTTCCTGAAGCTGGCCGGCCCGCAGCTCGTCCAGATGTTCATCGGTGACGGCGCGAAATTGGTAAATTTTGATTTTCAAGGTTTTACATTGTTTTTTGTAGGTGCGCGACGCGTTCGCGCTCGCCAAGGAGAAGGCGCCGGCCATCATCTTCATCGACGAGCTCGACGCCATTGGCACGAAGCGTTTCGACTCGGAGAAGGCCGGTGACAGGGAGGTGCAGAGGACCATGTTGGAGCTGCTCAATCAACTCGACGGCTTCCAGCCCAATGATGACATCAAGGTATTGGGGGGAGCAAGGTTTTGTAGCGTAATCGGATCGAAACTTCAGTACGTAACCGGTTTTTTGAAATGTACTTCTTATGGCACCGTTTTCTAGCGTAATCGGTTAGATTTTTGGATTTTAAATTCATTTTCCTTTCGTAACGGTTTCTTTTATAGTTCGTGCTCGCTTTTGACGCCTTTTTCTTAGCGCAAAAGTATAGTTTCTCGATTTAAAAAATTTTTTTAGTCGCCTCTGGGGTCGCTAAAATTGTTTTCTGCGTCAATTTAGAGCGTAATGGGCTCGGGTTTTTTTGAAATCTTTATTTCAATAGTTTTTCAGTTTTAAAAACGGTTTCCCTGTCGCGATTTTGTTGCGCAATCAGATCAAAAACACGTTTTTCGTTGCGTAATCGGTTCAAATTCGTTTAGAGGGGTTGGAAATTTTTCTTGGAACGAATTTTTAACCCGTTTTTTTTCAGGTGATCGCGGCCACAAATCGTATCGACGTGCTCGACCCGGCCCTCCTCCGTTCCGGCCGTTTGGACAGGTATTTCCGGCATTCCTTCTAGTTAGCCCCTTTTTTTCCAGAAAAATCGAGCTCCCGCACCCGAACGAGGAAGCCCGTGCCCGAATTATGCAGATCCACTCGCGCAAGATGAATGTCCAGTGAGTGCCCCCGGATTAGTTCCCCACTCATTGCTTCTGTTTAGCAAAGACGTCAACTTCGAGGAGCTCGCCCGCTGCACCGAGGACTTCAACGGGGCCCAGTGCAAGGCCGTCTGCGTCGAATCGGTGAGCGCTTGGTGTTTTTGTGATTAGATGGCGTCATCGGTTCCGCGGGGTGTTGCGTAATTAGGTGTCGTAAGCGGTTAGTTGGTTGCGGGTTGTTTTGAGTAATTTATGTCCTTTTTACGCACTATCGTGTAGGCCCGCGCTAGAATAATTAGCGTAATCGGTTCTCGGGCTTTCAAGGGCCTGGTAAGGTGCTTTTAGTGTTTTAAATGGGTAGTGGTAGCAGAAAAATTAGAAGAAAAAGCTAGCGTAATCGGTTTTCAGCGTTTTTTAGTTTTAAATCAACTGTAAGGACGTTTTTAGCGATTTTCGGGTTTTCCAGCACGAAAATTTGAAGATTTAGTCGTTTGCGTAATAGGTTGTGTTTTTTTTGTTTCAAGAGGTTTGCAGAACCTTTTTGGTGAATTTTATGATTAGAACGAAATTTTTTAATGTAGAAACTTTGATATGACATTTTTATCTCTTTTCTTTGCAGGGTATGATCGCGTTGCGCCGAGAGGCGCTCGAGATCCTCCACGAAGACTTCATGGACGCCATCCTCGAGGTGCAGGCCAAGAAGAAGTCGTCGCTCAACTACTACGCCTAAGCCCCGGACATCCCCCCCACCAAGTATTTCTATATTTACACACATACCCTGGTGTCCCCCGTTTTGGCGTTTTTCGCGTGGTGGTTTTGCAAAGATATGGGTCCCACCGCTCTTTTTCTGGGTTTTTAAAGGGCCGGGAACACCTTTTTAAGCCCCTCCCAAATTCTCTCTGCTGCTTGTCGTGATTTGTCTCCCCACTCCGGCCCCTCTAAAAATACATAAAATTTTCCCAATCCCCTCTAAAAATACATAAATTTCCCTTTTATCTGGTCTCCACATAACGCGCCCCTCCCCTCCCTCCCATTGGTGCGTGTATGTGTCTTTTATCCCCCACTTCCCGCCCCCTTTAAAAATGTTCGTTTTGAAAGTACCCGGAAATTGTGTGTGTGCTCTTTTGTGTGAATTACTTTCATTTTATTGCCCTCGTCGTCATCTCTCTCTCTCGGCTCGGCTCGCTCGACTCCTCTCTCTCTCGACTGCGATAAATATTTATTATACAAAATCGTGGTGTGTTTTTTCGATTTCCACTCGAGTACGAAACGATACAGTAAACAGATTGTGATGTTTTTAATTCATTACGTGTTGAAAATCAGGATTTTAGAGCTTAATCGATTACGCTATGATGTTGTCTTCTCGATTTTCACGGTCTAATCGATTACGCGATCAATTTAGCTGCTTTTTGTAGCGTAATCGATTACGACGTGTAATTTAGCAAGATCTTCTTAATCGATCACGGATAGTATTTTTAGAGCGTAATCGAGGGTAACATGCATTTTTTTGGGGGTTAGACAGCGAAAAAAGGTCATTTTTGCAAGGCACTTTACAGTTTTAAATGCGATATTTAATTTTCCAATAAAAAATCGAGTTTAATTTGTTAAACTTGGTCGCCGGCCGGCTCTCTGCCTGCCAGCAGTCCTTGGCCCATATGCTGCGTTTCGATAATGGTGGCGCGGCGGGACATTTTCTTCTTCACGCAGGATTGGGCTGAAAATGGAGAGGGTTAGGGCAGGCTAGCAGGGATTCTTTGCGGAATCGTGGGCAGGCTACCAGAGAAAATTGGAGAAAATGGGTAGGCTAGCAGTGTTTATTTGCGGAATTTGATTTATTCTTCCTCCTTTTTTGTGGTTTTCAGGGCTAACCTACCGATAAATTGTATCATTTCAGCCCTCAGCAGCGGCTGGCAAGAGGCGTAAATCGGCAGCCGCAGCGAGCAGGCCACGATCGGCAGTATGGAGATGGCGTCGACGGAGAGGATGTAGAAGGGCATGAAGCTGGAATCGGCGCATTACGGAGAGGTTCGTGGTTCTCTCTCTCTCTCTCTCTCTCTCTCTCTCTCTCTCTCTCTCTCTCTCTCTCTCTCTCTCTCACTTACGTCGGTGTCCACAGCGACGCCGGGTCGAACATCTCCCATACCGTAATCACCATGCTCAGCAGGTTGCTCATCAGATGCGTCAGTACGATGATTGACAGCGTACGCGTCGCGGCGCGAATTCGGGCCTGAAATTCCGCAAATTTCCTTTGCTAGCATACCCCAAATTTTTTGGTTTTTCAAGGAATTCTGCTAGCCTGCCCGTCGCTTAAAATTCCTCAAAGTATATCTGCTAGCCTGCCTCTCCGATTCCTCAAAGAATGTCTGCTAGTCTGCCCTCCAATTCTTCAAAGAACCTTTGCTAGCCTGCCCCGAATCTTGTCTAAGGCAGCCTAGCAGAGATCATTGAGGAAAGGGTTCCATTTGCATACCTTCTTCTGTCGTACATTCTGCTTATCCCCATCACAGCTCCGTTCGCTCCGGTGGCGACTGCCTAAAAATCTTATTTTTTTTGAATGGAATTAGCGTTTATTTAATTTTTCTAGACGTCTGCCGACCTGCCTGAGCCGCACCTCCACCCCACAGAGCAGCAGATTGAGCATGAAGAGCACGAGGAACGGGAAGACGATGGTGAAGATGTTCCGGAACCAGAGGCGCCAGTACTGGAAGGTGATTTTTGAGAACTTTCCCGTTTTGGGGGACAGTTTTTTGAATGTTTAGGCGTTTTAAAGGGATGGTGCATCTAGGAATTGGCCAAAAATTTTTTAAATATTTATGAGATTTTCGCGATTTTAAAGGGATGGCGCCATGTAGAAAATATGCGTAAAACTCCGAAATAGTTATTTTATTTTATGGGTACTGTAATTTTTACCTCATACAAATGGGCGTGCACAATTTTGCCCGGCATCAGCCCGAACTCGTTGAAATGGCCGAAGCACGTCTCGTTGTAGGTGATCTGGAAAACGGGGGTAAGCGTAAGCCTAAGCCTAACCCAAGCCTAGATCAAGCCTGAGCCTAAACCCTAAACCTTACCTGAATCTCAAGAGGTATCGTGCTCTTCGGGAAAACGCCGCACATCACGGCTACGGTAGCGAGTAGACAGCGATTTCTTTGTAGTAATTGAACCGCTCGTGTGTTGAGCGTTATGCAGAATCTGAAACAGGGGCAAGCTAGCAGAGAAGCTTGAGGAAACGCGGAACTCTAGCATTTTCATAGCGTAGTCGATTTTATAGGAAAAAATCGGGTTTTGATGACGTAATGGGTTAAATTTTGTCATTAAACGAGGCCGGCTAGCAGAGATCTTTGAGGGGAAATGGGCAAGCTAGCAGGTATCTTTGCGAAAATCTGAATTAGGTTAGTTTCATGGCGTAATCGTTTCTTTTCAGACTTCCTGGGCGCCGGTCGGACATCGATGATCTCTGCTAGCCTACCAGACGATCTACAATTTTCTCAAGGATCTCTGCTAGCCTACCCGGAGGATACTGTAATTTTGGGTAAGATTTTTCTGTTTTTATCAATATAGTTTTTATTTTTCTAGCTTCTACGCGCCAAAGAAGAGACCGTCAGATGACCTCGTCCTCCCCTCCCTCCTCAAGGCTCTCTGCTAGCCTGCCCCCGACTCTGGGCCCTTCAGAAGTGCCGCTGATGGGCTTGAGGCAAATAGTGTGAGTTTGCATGCGGGAATCATGGTTTCGGGGGTATATTTGACAACGCCTTTAAAATGGTGGATTTTTCAAATTGGGGGTTTTAGTCATCTTTCCTAAAAGTCATCTTTCCTAAAAGTCATCTTTCCTAAAAGTATCTTTCCTAAAAGTCACTTTCCTAAAAGTCATCTTCCTAAAGTCATCTTTCCTAAAAGTCATCTTTCCTAAAAGTCATCTTTCCTAAAAGTCATCTTTCCTAAAAGTCATCTTTCCTAAAAGTCATCTTTCCTAAAAGTCATTTTTCCTAAAAGTCATCTTTCCTAAAAGTCATCTTTCCTAAAGTCATCTTTCCTAAAAGTCATCTTTCCTAAAAGTCATCTTTCCTAAAAGTCATCTTTCCTAAAAGTCATTTTTCCTAAAAGTCATTTTTCCTAAAAGTCGTCTTTCCTAAAAGTCATTTTTCCTAAAATCAATATTTGTCAGTTAGTTTTTTTTGCAAGAAAATTTTTTTTGGAGAGACCTGGGCCCTAAAATTTTAATGTCTCCATGCCGTACTAGATCTTTTCGGGATGTTTTGATTCAAGTTATGCTATCTTTGAATTCATGAAACTATTCAGAATTCAAAAAATAGGATAGGCTGCGATGCGACGAAGAGCTTTTATGAGGACTGACGGCGTTCAGGGCATTTTGCCGTTTCTACACTGGAAGCGGTTTCAAGTTAGGCGGAGGTGGCACCCTATTCGCCGACCTAACTTCAGGAAAAATTAATCTTCGAAAAATGGTTTTTAGAAAAAGTGATTGAGGAAAAATAAAAATTTACGATTACCTAGTTTTAGGAAAATGGCTTTTGGAAAGATGACTTTAGAAAGATGACTTTTAGGAAAGATGTTTTGAAAGGACTTTAGGAAGATGACTTTAGGAAAGATGACTGGGATTCGGTTACGGGATATTACACTTTCTGATGCCTTTAAAATTGAGTAAACCTGGGATATCTAGTTTTTCGTAAAATGACTTAAAAATTTTAAATTTTCCATACCTTTCCACTGCCGCAAAAACGATCAAGTAGACGCTAGCCGTTTGGGCGATATGCGAGATTGTCAGCATCGGGATCATGTAGCTCATCCTAGAAAAGGGGACTTCTTTGTTCTCTCTCTCTCGCTCTCTCTCTCTCTCTCTCTCTCTCTCTCTCTCTCTCTCTCTCTCTTCTATCTCTCTCTCTCTTTCTCTTTCTATTTAGCTCTCTTTCTTTCTCTCCTCTCTCTCTCTCTCTCTCTCTCTCTCTCTCTCTCTCTCTCTCTCTCCCTCTCTCTTTCTCTTATTTTTACAATCAGCTCGTCAAGTTATGTATTTCACCAAAGCTGAGGCAGCTTTTAGAATATTCAAGCCTCACCTATTTTTCGCGCCTTTGTAAATGCTGCAATTTTCGGGAATTTCGACTCGAATTTTTGAGTATTTTCACTGCCATTTTCCCCGGGCTTACCACATTTTCCTGAGCGCGTAGCTGCCCGTCCAATTCGTCAGCACCCTCACCGCCATTAGTGCACAGTAGGAGATCGAGAGAAAAACGTCGAAAAATGCGAGCAGCAGCATGTAGAGGTTGTAGGAGTTTCTGGAATTTTTACGGGGTTTGAGGGGTTTAAGGGGGCGTGACATGCAGGATTCAGCGCCATTTTTTTGATTGTTTTTAAAGAGAGCGTGACGCCAAAATTTTCCAGTCGTTTTAAAGGGGCTGGGACAGTAAGCGTTCTGCCAATTCCTTACCGATGCTGTCGATTCGTGACGAACAGGAAAAACAGAAACGTATTTGTCACTATCGATACGGTAGCCACCGACCCGCCGGCAATTACCGCCATGTAGAAACGCTCGTAGAGGAAGTCTCTGAAATGACGAATTTTAAAGGTTCATTGAAGTCTAGGGTCTTATGGATTTTCCTAGATTTGACATTTCCCTTCAAGGACCAATCAAGCAATTTTTTTTGCTTTTAAAGGACCATTGAAGGCATGATCGGGCGCTTTTAAGGGCTACGGAAGTCTGTTCCTATGGATTTTCCCATATTTTTAGGGTTTTAAATAGATCCACCCCTAACTCCATAAACCCCCCTACTCCAATCCCCTCAAAAATCCTCCCTCTCCCACAACCAAAAAACTAAACCACATATTCCCTCACCTTTCTTCCCTAAACCCCCCGGGGAAATATCACACACACACACTTTTTTTTGTAATTGAAGTAGCTTTGAATTTGATTAGGAGATTGATTAAATTAGATTTTTTTAATTTTAGAATTTGGGGTTTTTAAAGGGCCATTGAAGTCTTAAGATCATATGGATTTTCCTAGATTTTTGGCATGTTTTAAAGGGGCAGAGAAGTCAAGTCTCCGGGTTTTAAAGGCGTTTTGAAGCCTGGGGAAAATGGGGATTTTTGTAGATTTGTATTTTAAGCCTTTTTAAACGCTTTTAAGGGCCAGACAAGCCAAAATTTACCATTTTAAAGGACTAGTGAAGTCAACTTTCGTTTTACTTACTCGTCAACAGCATCACAAGATGCTGGAACGTCTGATTGACTTGTATGAAGTGCTTCTGTGCCATTATGGACTCCCGGTTCGAACAGATAGACTCCTTCTTCCATTTCTGGGTTACTGTACCGGGTTTTGTAGTTTGTAGTCTATTACGATGGACTGTAGTTTGTCTAAAAACGTCAAAATCGATTATGACATTTAAATACAAGTAGGTAACTAGCAGAGATGATTGAAGAAAGACAGGGCCAGCTAGCAGAGATTCTTTTAGGACTTGGAGGGGCAGGCTGGCAGCGATTCTTTGAGGAAATGGACCGGGGCCAGCTAGCAGAGATTCTTTTAGGAAATTGGGGCAGGCTAGCAGAGATTCTCTAAGAAAAGCCGAGTCATCGGTTGTCTTGGCTTTCGAGATGATTTCTGGATGCCTCGTGGTGTGCCTAGTTGTTATCGGGCTGCCACTAATTCAGAAGAGAAGCCGAATCAAAATTGCCCGTCCTGTGAAAAGCCTCTAGAATGTGGAGGTTTGTTGCGGAAGACGTGGGGGCTACTAAAAGGAGGAGGTGCCAAATTGAGGTCGCCGGCGTCCTCTTGGCTTTCCGGAGGAGCTTGACACCAAATTAACGAGACCGAGACGTGAACCGGGTTTGCCCTGGGGGCACGCTTACTTCTGGAGCGTAGCGGAAAACGGGGAATCGATTTTGGGAGGCTAGCAGAGACCATTTATGGAATTTGAGATAAAGTTAAACTAGCCGAGATCATTTAGGCGACGGGAATGACTAGGGCAGCCTAGCAGAGACTATTTGCGAGAGCCTAGGGTTTTGTGGTAATGGTAAGCTAGCAGAGATTCTTTATGAATGGCAGTGAGCAGATACCGTAATGGTAGAGGCTCTAGCCTTTGCCACCCCCGTGTTTTAGGAATTTTTTGCCGAATTTCCGGGGCTCAGCTGAGCGTTTAGAATTCGATTAACGCCCGGACAATGGCAGCATTCGCGATACGGTAGCGGGGAGTTAATTTAATAAGCTCTATTTATCGGGTTTGCCCCGCCCATGCACAGCGGAAGACTGCAAAAAAATGGAGAACTAGAATTTTCGGGACTAGAGGCAGGCTATCAGAGTGTTTTGAGGATTTGGAGGGCACACTAGCAGAGATTCTTTAAGGACTTGGAAGGGCAGGCTAGCAGAGATTTTTTAAGGAATTGGAGGTTCAGGCGAGCAAAGATTCTTTGGGGAATTGGCGGGGCAGCTAGCAAAGACTATTTGCGAATTTGCAAGCTGCACCGGAACAAAAGCTTCACAATAAGGAAGCATCCGCTTTCAGCGGCTTCTTCCGAGTAAGTTCAGAGGAATTAGGCCACCTGGCAGAGGCAAAAAAAGCCACAGGCCACTCGAAAACAACGTGTGCGCCGTCTGCCAAAGACACTGCTAAGTAACCCATTGATTTTGCAGCCGTAGGGGTGGCTTTTGAAGTTTTGCGGCGCGGGGCAGACTAGCAGGGAGTTTGCAGGAAATTGGCGGGACCTAGACGGGCTAGCAGAGGTCTTTTCGAAGCTTAGGCGAGCGAGCAGAGATTTTTGAGGACCGGCGGATAATTCTTTGGACGCCATAAATTATCTGGGCAGGCTAGCAGGGATTCTTTGCGGAATCCGAGAATGAAGCGGCCGGGCTAGCTAGCAGAAATCCTTGAGGAAAGCTTCCGATTTTGGAAGGTTGGAGCCTGGCTGAAGCCGGGATAGGCTAGCAGAGATTCTTTGAGGAAAAGTTCAAGCATTTGCAACTCGGAGGATCAAATTTTGAGGCCCAGAGCACGGCCGGATGTGTCTGTCTGCTAGCTGATGGTGGATGGAAGAGTCAGAGCATCGAGTCACTCTCTCTCGCTCTCTCTCTTTCCTCTCTCTCTCTCTCTCTCTCCCTCCCCCTCTTCTAAAGGGATTGGATGTGTATTAATTGACTATTCAGAGGGGGAGGAAGAGCCTCCAGTCACTCAGCGCCGCCCTTCTTTTCGGTCTTTTGTGAATACCCACCCCAACCACCATCATCACAAATTGACTAGAGAGTACATGCTCCGGGCTTCTGGTGAATCGGATGGACATGGGGGTATCGACATTCTGGACTTTGGGGGGAATTCTGAGTCGATAAAACAAAAAAAATCGAGGGCAAGCGAGCAGAGATTCTTGAGGAATTCTTCATTTTGGTCGGGTTAGGCAGACCATCAATTTTAGATTTTGCATCTTTGAGCGAATTTAAGTTAAAGAATCAATAAAACACGAAAAGTAGAGGGTAGGTTAGCAGGGATTTTTGAGGAATTATTAATTTTGGTTGGGTTAGGCTGGACGAAAAATTTTAGAAAGTTTTTGGGTGAAGGCATCGATAACCCTGCGAAATAGATGGTAGGCTAGCAGAGATACTTGAGGAATTCATAATTTTGGTCGGGTAAGGCTAAGCGAAAATTTTTAGATTTTGTCCTTTTAAGGGACATTTGCATTAAGGAATCGATAAAACACGAAAACCAGGGGGTAGGCTAGCAGAGGTTCTTTAGGAACTCAGCAAATTCGACATCCGGGAGGCTAGCAGAGATCATTGGGGACAGCGGGAAGTACAGGGCAAGCTAGCAGAGATCCTTTGGGAAGCCTTGGCGTTCAGGCAAGCTGGCAGTGGCCCTTTTAAAAATGCCAGCAAGGCAAAGAGGAAGGCCTACTAGCAAAGGTTCATGTGGGAGGCTAGCACAGTTTTTTGCGGAATTCGAGACTAAAGGCAAGCTAGCAGAGATCCTTTGCCCTCCAAAGACCACCGCACTTCCAAAGGACACTCGCGGACGATTCCAGGAATTTTTTTAACCGCGCGAAAAGTCAGGATTTCCGTTTTTGAGAAACACTAACCGAATTTCCGGGATTTCCAGTAGGTGGGGGAGGGAGATCGCGAAATTCGAGTGGTCTCCCCGGCGGTGAACCCCTTTTTCGGGTCGTGAAACGACCGCTTCGGCCGGCCCGAAGATGGCCCCGTATCCGGATGGGGGCATTTCGGATATTAAAGGAGGACTGGGGAAGACATCAGAAGCCACGAATTCACGTTAAAGGGGTGGTGAACTGACGGCTTTCGCTGGGAATTTACAATTTTCCCCAATGACCTTTGCCAGCTAGCCCTAATTTTGTGGAAAATTGCTTCAGGGGCATCGGAAAGGTTGCGTAAAGAATCTCTGCTGGCCTGCCATACGATAAAACGGAAACTACAAACTATAATTCTTGAAAAGTGCTTCTCCTAGCTTCTTTAGCTGAGTGCTTCTCCTCCTTCCCAAAGACGGTCAGATAAAAAACCAATTTAAGGAAAAAGGGGGCGGGGCTGGCAGAGAGAGAGAGAGAGAGAGCGAGAGAGAGAGAGCGAGAGACTTGCTGCAAAAACGGGAAGTGATTTCTAGCCAGGAGATACCCTTCTATAGACGAAGTAATTCGTAAACTGAAACCCCAAGAAACCCTAGAAAATTTTCGAGGGTAAATTTGTTCCGCCTGGCCCCTTCTGTCGACATGTGTTACGAATGAGTAATTTATGGGGATTTTTGAGGGGCTAAAGTGTTGAGGCGTTTTGACATTTTGTCGAGAGAGAGAGAGAGAGAGAGAGAGAGAGAAAGAGAAGAGAGAGAGGAGGAGATAAAGCTGCAAATTTGTTTCCCTAGCGATCGCTGCTAGCCTGCCCCCCAAAATTCGTCAATTTTTAAGGGTGTAGGACTCGGTAAAAATCCTTCAATTCCACAAATAATCTCTGCCAGCCCGCCCTAAAATTCGCTAACTTTTAGGGTCCATAATTCAAGAGAAATTCCCCAAATCTCTCTGCTAGCCTGCCCCCGGAAGTACACCCTGGAAAGTGGCTTATCCCCCTGCTTGCCATTCTTCAAAAAGCCCACTAAGCCCCGGGAATCATTGTCAAAGCGCCGAAAACACGGCCCCCACCCCCTCCTGCCCACGCCCAGTGTCATCAATTTTGCCCTGGTTCCAGTTTTGGGCTTCTTCTTTCCTAGGAGGGCCAACTAGATCCCCCAGGGGTCCCCCCACTTCTGTTCTCGAGTCAAACAAACCTCGGCTGCACCGAGAACCGAAAAAAGACCGTCGCGTCACTTTGGCTTGCCGGGGCCTTTAAACGGCTCTATAAATTTCGCAAAAGCATAAGCTAGCCGAGATTCTGGAGGAAAAATTACTAGGGTGCTAGCAGAGATCCTTGGGGAATTCGATCGGGTCAGGCTACCAGAGTTTTTTGGGAAACGCAGGCCCAGGCCAGCTAGCAGATCTTTGGGAAACTCGATTGGGGCAGGCTAGCAGAGATTTCGGTTGAATTGGGGTGATAAGCGAGCCGGGATCCTTGAGAAACGTGATTTCAAGGCAAGCTAGCAGAGGATCTAGTGGAATTTATGGTAGAAGACAAGCCGAGATTTTTAAGGAAAGGGGTTCTAGTAGATTTTAGGCTGGCAAACTAGCCGAGATCCTTGAGGAAGCTCGACTCTAGAAAAGAAGGAGTTAGCAGAATTACTTTGCGGAAGAGCTAGCGGAGATTCTTGAGGAATCTGGAGTATGGAAGGATCGAGAAAGCGCCTAGTTTAGGAAAAAAAGACTGTGGTCAGCCCGGGTGCATCGGGTTCACATTTCTGTTCCGTTCCGCCCAGAATAAAGGACACTTGTTAGGGCTGGGGTTCTGGGATTCTCGGTTCGATTCTTCTAGAAATTGAAGTCTTTTCCGTATCAACGGAAGGGTCTCGGGCAAGCTAGCAGTGATGTCTATGGAAAGGGAGACCTAGCATGAGTTAATTAGGAATTAGGCGAGCTAGCAGAGATTATTTAGGAAAGGGGCAAGCTAGCAGAAATGATTTAAGGGGTAGGCAAGCTAGCAGAGGTTATTTAGGAGCTAGGCAAGCGAGCAGTGATTATTTCAGACGGGTTCAATCTAGCAGAGGCCATTTGGGAAACGGGCAAGCTTGCAGAGATCATTTAAGACGATCACAAGCTAGCAGGCATCATTTATGGATCAGGGGAATCTAGCAGAGAGCATTGAAGACCTAGGCAAGCTAGCAGAGACCATTTATGACGCAGGCAAGCTAGCAGAGACCATTTAGGAAACGTGCAAGCTAGCA